CTTCGCGCGGTATAACAATAATTTAGAATGAACTTTTTATAAATTAAATAGAAATAAAAGGATAAATTCTATTTTAATTATAGCTAAGACTTGTTTTTCCTCTTAAATAATTATTTATTTTTCTTTTAATTTTAACATTTATCTATTATAGTTACATATAGTTACCTATTGTTAATATACTGGACATTATCTTTTTCCTTATCTTCTTCAATAGTTTTTTAATACAATAAATAAATGGAACAAAAGATTAAAAAAAAAATTAAGAAAGAAATAAATAAAAATGTTGACCGTAAAAAGGTATAACATCAGATTTTTGATTCTTTATTTGATTTTTTCTTATTAATAATGGATATTAGATTCTTTAAAACAATTAAATGAAAATAATAGTGAAAGATGTCAATAGAAAATACGAAAAAAAGTTATGAATAGTTATTATAGAAAAGTATCATATCGTCTTGTATATGCGAAATTTTATGTGTATATACGATATAGATAATAAAAAAAATATAAGAAAATAAAAATAATTGATGGAACATCTATTAATAATATTGAGTTATCTATCATGTAGAATAAATATAAAATTGAATACTTTCACTTTCATGGATAATGCATTTTTTTCTTTCTTTTTTCCAAACAAAAGGTATTATATACATTTATAAGCTCATGATAATATATATATATATATATATATATAAGAGATGAAGTGGGAAAGCTTCCCTCGGTACAACAAGGGAGGAACCGGTGATTAACTTTTTTTAAGTAATGGGAAAAGACGTGTTCTTCTCTTTTTGGATTCACAATTAGTGCTAATGAATCTGCAATTAAGAGAATATCACAGTTTTTTGAAAAAAAGTTCTGCTCAAGAATCCTTTAAGTCATATGACTACTATAAAAAACCATTATGAAAATGAATATTTCACATGGAGAAGTGTGCATCTTTATATTGGATGTTTTTTTGTTGTGCGATCTGGTGGCTTCTGTGCAACTTGTGGCCCACACCTCCTATTTGTTCAGGGCAAGCGACATGAACTTTATTTCTACCCGGATATCCCATTCTACCGATAAGATGCTTAGTTGACTCCTTAACCTTGATAGGAAAATGACTTATTCAATAATTCATGCATAAGGGTAAGGAACTTTGGATGACCTAATGCAAATGAGTGTAAGCCTCGCTGCTCAGAAACACCCAATACTGACCACACTGAGAGACACGAAAGCGTAGGCAACACTAGTTGGAGGGCCTTAAAGTGCTCGCTCGAGGCGACAAACAGAGATAGAATGATTTTAGAAGATGAATTATCATCACCTTGAATTGTACTATCAAATGCTCTGAAGATTTTTTATTAATGTAACCCAATCAGGCATCTCAGAAAGGATAGTAATCTCTTCTCGAAAAAGTATCACGATAATCTTACAAAATGTGTGCTTTTCATATTTTTTTTGCAATTAAGTAAATTAAAATAGTATCAATTTGATGGCACATATTTTGTCAAATGTTACCTTTCAATTTTGATAATTAATTTTATTTTAAAATTCAATCTAACTACGCAGTTACACTTGAAGATCAAATAATATTTTATAATTATGACAATTAATATACAAATTGATCATTATAATTATTACAATATGTAATTAATATCTTAATAATTACATGAATCACAATTACTAGCTAACTTTCCAAAGTTAAAAATCACGTCTAGTTTGGGAAACATAGTCAATCCTTCACGCATAAGAACACAAATTAAATTCATGCCATCATGATATAAATACAAAAGTTAAAAAAAAGCGAAGAGACGCGTGACCGTGCTAAATCTGAAGGCAGGTAAAAGCAACAAACTAACTTTGAACATACCATCCATCATCCCCAAACCCACCCGCACCAACTATCATTTCCATTTCCCCCTTCAAACCCCATTTTGATTCCACAATTTTCTCCTCCTACCAGCTCTCCAAATTCTCCTTCCCCTTCACAACTCTTCATACATACGATACATGTCTTTCTACAGTTGTTGAAGGAAAAAAAAATATGGCGATAATCGGAGAAGCACTCCGGCAAGCGTTTATGCCGAAGCACGAATACGAGTGTCTTCGTGAGGAAGACAAGGCATTTAATCGTCTTCAAAGGCCGTTTGTGATCTGCAGTTTAACCCTAATATCACTTGCTATTATTGTCTGTACTATAATCAGCTTGAAAATAGTGTTTCCTGTCGATCCTGCCCGCCGGCCTTTCTGTGGTGACTATCGTATTCAGCCGCTTTCGATTAATTTTACTAATATAGCTGCTAGTGGTTCTGAAGGTGGTGGTGGTGGTACTGGTACTGGTACTGCTGGTGATTCGGATAGTTTTCCTGGTGCGTTTTACCTAACGAATCAGGAGATTGTGGATTACTATTGGATGGTTGTGTTCATTCCTTCAACGTTCATTTTTGCGGTATCGGCAGTGTATCTAATTGCAGGTGAGTAGATGTGAGAAATATTTTATGTTTGAAAATGTGATAGCACATGGTTTATATGTCTTCATCTTTTAGGGCGAATAAGAAGTAAACCTAATTTTGAGTTTGTTATTGAATTCGAAAAAGAGATTGCCTGTTTCATATTTTTGGCCTCGCCGTCGCATCTAATTGCTCTGTTTAGCTTGTACTCTATGCGTATTCAGTATCAGTTTTTTTAGTCAAATGAGATGTAAAATGAATGCATCTTCTTTTTTACTTTTGTTATTGCATTTGAAGAGTACAATGTGTATTTTCGCGGCCTTATTAGTTTAACTAATTGCACATGAGGACTTCGGAACATTATAGGGTAAATGTGGTTGTGCATCTTTGGATAATAGCACAAACTTTAAATCTGTTTACTCTTTTAGGGAAATAAGAAGTAATTTTTGCTTCAATCTAGTTTTGACCTTGTTAGTACATTCTAAGAGTAGAATGTGTATTTCAGTGATGCCATGACAGCTACACAGATAAGATAGTCAGGGATTTTATTGTTTTATTGTCTCTTCTACCTGAGTTGGGCCTATTAGTTGCAGTTAGTTTTTCTGAGGATAGTTCCCCTAGATATTGTATAGAAAATGAAAAGTATAGACTGGATTGTCAAATGATTTGAAGGTTCACGATGTGTGGAAATGTTTATATAGGAAGACATCTCTGGTTATAATAAACTGCAACATGTATGTGAAATGGAAAAAGAATGTTTAGAAGCTATGAATGAGGATGTAGCTCTGAGACTGCATGTGAATATAGATAATTGATGGTTAACTCTGATTGAAGTTCTTTTTGATCAGTTGATTAACTCTGATAAAGTTCATTAAAATCTTATATTTCTGTAGTCTATGCTGTATTGGAATTTCAATGTCTCTGAAAACCTAACTGGACCTAGGCTCTTTGGGAGGCCAAGTTTATGAACTTTAGAGATGAAAAAGGTTTATTTTTAGACTATTTAAACTTTAAAGGATATATGCTCAATCTTTCCTGACGAGCATAGTTTTTGGAGGCTAAAACTAACCTATTTTTGTTCAAGCATGAGTTCCGATACGGAGAATTTTCAAATTTGAGTCGCTCCTCGCACTTTGAAATGAAGGGAAGTCATATATTTTTCCGTCCTTTTAAATATAAAAATGGTCTCAACTCTCCTCATCTTGTAAATGTCTGCAAAAGTGAATCCTATCTCAGTTAGGAAGGGAAGGATGGAGATTGATGAGAATTAAGAATTTATTACACACATGCACGTAATGGGTACAACAAAAATACATTGGCAATTCTACTGCCTTCTTCTTTCCTCTGTTGTTTCTTTGCATCCAATCGTCACTGAAATTGGGGTGCAAATAACAGGACTGTGTGTCTGGGCTCAAAGTGTGCTGGTACCAGTTTTAGTTGTTTAATTGTATAAGAACTACAACTATAACTGACTTATCAGGAATAAAAAGAGAGAGGTAGAAGATGACAGTTTTCACTGTTTCTGCATTATGAAGTGACTTCAAACTTTGCAGGTATTATGGTCGCGTATGCTGCTCCGATGAGACATGGATGCTTGAAGGTTGTTGAGAATAACTATTGTGCTTCCAGAAGGGGTATATTTCTTGAATTATATGTTTTCCTCTGGTTCATGTTACCTCCAATAAGGGTAGTACTCTAGTTATAACAATCAGTAGGGAAGTAAAGGCATTTAATTTTTCTGTCCTTCCAGAAAATATCTGATGTCGAAGGGATTCCTCGTTTACCTCCCTTTCCTTTCTAAGCTCTATGCATCAACTGTATTATATTATTTTCCCCATGAAACTGAGCCTCTTTTCACTGCATTTAAGCATAGCGCTAGTTGAGTGAATACTAGATTTTGTATTTGCCCGTAGGAAGGTTGCAAATAGATGCTGCTCTTGTAAATAGAACTGTTTTGGATATCAGCTATTTTGGGCGGAGAATCTGCGGCAGATTTGTTTCTGACTTAGACATTTCAAGTTTTCTAGTTCTGTGTATTTATAAATGTGGGTGATATCATGTTTCCTTTCAGGGATAAGGCTTTTAAATTATTGGTGTGTAAAAACGATCTTGTCGGGAATGATTCATGCTTGTAATGTTTGTGGATAAAATAATGCTCAAGAGGTTAAGGGAGCGTTTGGCCTTGAAAATTGTGAGTATTTGAAAAAAGTAAGTTTTTGTTTTCAAAGTGAAAAATGATATTTGAAAATTGGAGTTGTGTTTGGCCATGAATACAAATTGGAGTTTTTTTTTGAATTTTTGAGAGTAATTTGGAGTGAAAAAAGTAAAACCAGTTTTTTGGTGTTTTTCAAATTCCTGAAAATTCCAGAATCTTATGGCCAAACATGTTTTTTGAAGTTCATCACCAAAAAAAGTACAAAACTTCAAGGTCAAATGCCCCCCAAGTACCAAAACTTCAAGGTCAAATTCCCCCTAAGTACTAAAACTTCATGTGCAAAATCTATCTGAGCTTGTCCTCATACCAGCGGATATTAGGTCCTTTCGCTGATGTTATTGTGCATCGATGAACAGATTCAATTGTTTTTCTGTCCATTTGTTTTCTCTACTTTTTATCTGTGTTGTGGTATGTATTTCTATGTTCTAGCTGGTTTTAGGAAGAAAAAAACCCAAATTCAAGAGTTTGGTTGAAGAAACATCGATTCCTTTTCAGCAGTTTTTTTCCTTAACGGACTAGGGTTATTTAAGTTTGTTATACGAAATAAGGAGCTATCTGCAGTAGTACAAATCAAAGCTTAAGTAACCCACTGTTGTAGCAAGTTTGCAACTGCTTAAAATTGGAAGGTACAAAAGCGACGAGCTCTCAAAGATGTTATAATGAAGAGAAGTTTACCATACTTCCCGTGATTGAATAATATTGTAATAACTATCAAACCTTTGCTGTACAAGTGTTTAGATGTCAACCAGAAAAATGTAGAGCTAGATTTTGTCCAAACCAAGTTGAAATTATGAAAGAACCAGTTCTTTCCGTGACTGGAACTTATAACTGCTCATTTTTCATGTATTCATGGAAGTCTAATTAGCTCTTGATGCTTTTTTTTTCTCGTCTAAAGTAATTACTATGACTACAAAGGAGACATGTTTGATTTACTTCACTTTGTGAATTTGGAGTAATTTATAAATAATAAATCTTCTGCTCAAGTATGACAATATCAAGGTATTTGAATAACACCTCTGATATCTAAGGAAAGCAATTGTCTGTATCTATCAGAAATGTTGCCAAGTAAGCTGGCGTCGTCTTTTTCTATGAGGTGGATCATGCTAATACTTGTTTCATGTTAAGAGTTTTAGAATCTCTTGGTAAAGTGAAAGTTCTGGTTACTACAATCTAAACGTTGAGCAAAGCTAGAAGTGCATAGAAAAAGTAGTATTGCGAATGGAACAAGGCGAGAGGAATGTCTTTGGTGGTCGAAATTACAGCTGAATATAGATACTTTTGAGAAATTAGAGCAGAATATAATGAAACAATACATAACCTTGCAATAGTCCTTGTGTGTGGTTAATAATTTTTGCAATAGTCCTAGTGTGTGGTCAATAATTTACTCCGTTTGTCTCAATTTATGTGACACACTTTCCATTTTAATTTGTCCCAAAAAGAATGTCACCTTTCAATAATTAGAAACAACTTAACTTTAAAATTCTCCTTTTACCGTTAATGAAATGATTATAGCCACACAAATAGCTAAGGGTTGTTTTAAACCACAAATTTCAAAAGTCTTTCTTTCTTAAACTTTGTGCCAAGTCAAATGGTGCCACATAAATTGGTATGGAGGGACTAGGGAGTAATATTTTATATCACGTGTACACCTTGCTATGAGCTTTTCAAAAGAATTTTAGATCATCTAAGAAGGAATCCATAACTTTGACCTGTTAGGACTATCTTTATGACATAAATGTTCTTACACGCTACAGGTAAAGCTAAAAATGAGTCGAGCTAAGGAGAGCCTTGGAGGTTAGATCTAGGTTATTTATACGAGCTGAGCTTGATTGTCAACGCGAGCGAAGAGCTAGCTTGAACTAGGCTGGCTTAAATTTCTGTAGGAAACTGGAGTGTGAGCTCAACTCAGTGTGTTCATTTTGGGCTTGAGTTCATTCCTGGAGATAATTTAACTTTGGGATTGTTCTTCAACTTGTCTGTGTCCTTTTTCTGATTTACTCTTTTGAATACAAAAAGTGCGTTCATAATATCTTGAGAAATTAGCTAAATGATCCCCCAACCTATTACCGAATTTCCAACTACACACTTATACTTTATGGTGGTCCTATCAACCCCCCCGGACTAAATAACCCCTTAAAATGCTATAACCAGTCATGTTTCTTGTGGTAGAAACACATACACTTGACATGTGTATTTCACCAATTTCTCCTTTTTTTTCATTTACTTTTTTCTCCTTCTTCTTCTTCCTTTCGTCCTCAATCATTTTTTCAACCCTAATTCTTTGTGAAAACTTCGATTTGGTACATATTGGGGAATTTGAATACAATACAGATGACATGAGGCTTGGGAGGACTTAATTTTTGTTGAAGATTTGATTGCCTAGTGCAGTTGCAGGGAAATGTGAATTCACCGCCACCTCCATCCTCTCCACCTCCCCACCACTACAGTCTGAGAAATCTACACCACCACCACCAGCTTCCTCTCTACCTCCGCCTTTTATCACCTCCCCTGCTTTCACCATTAACTCTTCCACCTCCTTCACCTACTCAAAGCTGCACAAAAAATATTACTTTTGTCTTCTTCAGCAGCCATTATTCAATACCCATAAAAATATTCAACTAAACTTACCCCCAGAGTATTTCCTATCTTGTCGATGAATTAAATGCAAATTAAAGCTCAGTCAGTCTTCTACAACAAACAAATCCAACGTAAACCCTCTGCAATATATAAAGTGATTGAATTTATATTTAAAAGTAAAAAAAGTGTCTTTCTTCAAAGAATTAAAAGCACTGTCCCGTGAAGACACGAAATCTAACCAAGAGAAGAAAAAGTCTGATAAGTGATTTAGATTAAGGGTTAATTAGGGGATGGACTCCAAAGAGGGAAGTTGGAAAATCTTCAAACTCCTACCATGGCAAATTTCAGATCAGAAAAATAGATAGATAATGATAAAGAGAGAGAAAACAAAGAAAAAAGCCAAAGCAAAAGCAGATGAGAAAGAAAATAAAAAGAAAAAATAGTCAACTCATTCTCTTTGAGAGAGTGAAATGCACTCGCTATGCAACTCAACAGTTAAGGGGTTATTTATTTCATTTTAAAATAGTTCAAGTGGGTAATAGAACCCCCGTTAAGTCTAAGTGTGTAGTTAGAAATCCAATAATAGGTGGGAGGGTCATTTGGCTATTTCTTTAATATCCTAGTTATTTGCTTAGTTATCACTTAAGAGTTTGGGGAATCAAAACTGTTAAGTCAGGAATAACTTACCTTTTATATCTATGGAGGAAACTGTTGGGTGGTGAATGTGTCTTTTTAAACTCTAAATGAGTCGATCTGAGCTTTCCAGAGTGCAGCCCGTTAAATTATTGAGAGACATGGAGTGCTAGGTTTTATAAAGGAGTTGAGCTTGTGTATTTAATGTGGGAGGAAGGTAGAGGGGTGGGCCCATATACTCCCGGGAGGTACAAACCTAAGTCGAGTTGAGCTTTCATCATGAACTTGTTGATTCATTTACAATCTCCCAGTAATTGGTATTCCATGAACTTGCTAATAATATTGATAAAGGAGTATGAGGTCTGCAAAATGTGAGATGGCAACTTCAGAACGTATTCCATTTCTTTAATGCATTCTGAAGGTAAAACCAACTTGAACAGTATTAATGGATAGGATTCAGGTCCCAGAAACTAGGATATTTGAGCTACCGTTTATCTATGTAAGGAGAATTTTGTAAGATTATTAACATGCGTGATAGAAGGTTTTGAATTACGTATGCAGAGACGGTTTAATACATTTGTTAGATATCTGAGTTTTGTCTGTTTCACTGCTTACCGTGGAAGGAAGGGTGCTCTTGTTTCCCTGCCTTTTTGCACGTGTGCTGGTGGGTAATAATTATGGATTGATTTACTCGTTTCTTTTCCCTTTTTTTTAAAAATAAATAATAACTATAGTGTTCGGGACGGCTTGTGCGTACTTTGACTAATTCCATGGGATACTTGCTACCTCCCATCATCACATGTACCGGGTAACTCTATCCACCAATCCACTAAGGCTTGGATAGATGGAGCACCTAGTGTCTTTTGCCTCCGCTGGGAAGATTGATTTATTCATTTTATCTCCTATTCTTGTGTGTCTAACAACTCATCATTATGTTTAACAGGTGGAGTGCGCTGTCTATCAATTCTCAATGTTGCTTTTGCTATCGTATTTGGTCTGCTTGCACTGTTTCTTGGTTCTACCCTTCTCACTTTGGGGAGCAGCTGCTCAGCACCCTTGTTTTGGTGTTACGAGATTGCTTCATGGGGGCTGGTGATTCTATATGGAGGGACTGCTTTCTTTCTAAGAAGAAAAGCTGCTGTAATTCTTGATGAAAGTGACTTCAGTGGGCGCAATCTTGGAGTAGAAATGCTTGAAGCAAATCCAATGGAAGTCACACCAGATGTAGAGAGACGTGTGAATGAAAGTTTCAAGGCATGGATGGGTCCTTCTTTCTTGTCCTCGGATGAGGAGGATGAATCTGATAACTACCAGGAAGTTCCAGCTTTATCTCGTACCATCTCTAGCCGGCTAAGACAATAATATGAAGTTTCCTCCTGTTGGATGCCTCGAGCAGTGAATGAAATATTGTGGAAGGTCTAACTTGTGATATCTTACCCAATCGCTTGCATAGCAGAACTTTTGAACTGAGCATGAGTGCTGCAGCATCGGTTCATTTTGGTAGAGTTTCAGGTTTTGTATAGTTAGTATGAGGGAACATTGATTTTCTCGGTGGTGGAAGGCTGGTAAAGTTGGAAGGAGAAGCATGTAGGAACCTCTCAGTAATTGATTTGGAGTAGACTAACTAATGCACGATTCATAGTATTCCTATGAGCGTTGCTTAGTTGTTGATACTGAATTTTGGAGTAGTTCCTTGTAGTTGTCTTGTCCTCGTACCACTTGATATATAAGTGTTGACATCTAGAACGAGCACAAATTAGTGTATAGCATCTATTTTTGGATGATATACAACACAGTTAAAGTGATACAAAAAATATACGTATCATGTTTTAGTAATTTTCCCTATTTAAACGAGTCACCATATTACATCACCCAAATGGAAGAATAAGCAGCTCTAATACTGGATTCTGAGGGAATTACTTTGCAAACCCAATTTTTCATTCCCTAAATTTCGTATTCGAATTCTACAACTTGCTATATGCATCTTGCTGATGAATATTTAGTGGTATATCTACACTCAAAACAGTTCGAGAAAGCAAAACTTAGCATAATGATTAAAGATTGTTGATACCATCGTGAGTGGCTTAGACAATTCTTGAAACAAACTTTGTCATGAAAATATGATTTTTTCATCGTTGCCGTCGAACTCTAAGTTACCCTTGAGACTTGAATTCCAATTTTGGTAATGAACAACAGAGCATAACTTAAGTTAATATCTGAGTCAGAAAATTTCCTATTCAAGGTTTGATTTCTGAAAATGACATGGAAACGGACGCATAAGTAATGGTTGAACTCCAACAAAGTATGCTGAAATTCCAGCACACTGTTGGAGTTTCACAGACAATTATTGAAGTTCAGTATCATGTGGTACAAACACTGTATTAAAGTTATTTTGCGTTTTTAGTAAGAATATTTTTATTCACAATTCTTTCCATATAATATGATCAAATGTTAATAGCTTTTAAAATGGTGGCTAATGTTTGATAACACGTAATTAAGTGACTATTTGCTAAATTCCCCCCCAAAAGCAGGCCGCAAATATTTGTAGAAGCCCAAAATCTTAAAAGCCCAATTAGCCCATCTTCTCCACTATACTCCTTAGGTCAAGAACATCCAAAACTTTCTGCTACCACCCCTTCTTCACCACTGTTAATCAGTTTCGCCCTAAACCTAAACCCTTGATTTTCGATTTTCAGCGTTGAAGCTCAACAATGGCAGCTCCCTACGAGTACGAAGAAGGAGGGTACCCACAACAAACTGATGCAGTCGGGTACGACCCGAATTTCGTGCCAGATTCCGTAAAATCATTCGTGGCTCATCTGTATAGGCACATAAGAGAGAAGAATGTTTACGAGATTCACCAGATGTATGAGACCTCTTTTCAGACATTGAGTGAGCGTATGTTTAAGGAAACTCCCTGGCCTTCTGTTGATGCCGTTGCGCCTTACGTTGATAATGACCATGTCTTCTGCTTGCTTTACCGTGAGATGTGGTTCCGTCACTTGTATGCTAGACTTTCTCCTACTCTTAGACAGCGGATTGATTCGTGGGATAATTATTGCAGCCTTTTCCAGGTTTTTAAATATGTCGCCTTTTTATTCTTTTTTGATGCGTTGTTTTGTGTTATTCAATGAGCTCAGTAAAACTACTAAGCTTCAATTCCAAGCTAATTGGCGTCGGTGTCATGAATCCATTTTGTTCAATCCGCCGTGTTCCCCCAATTCTCAATTATTGGGATTGTTTGTTCTTAGATTTTTAATTGATGTATGTCTCCATATAGACTAAAACCATATACTAAATGACTAAAAAGACTCCTAGCAAGTCTATACAATTTAGGCCTGGTATTGTAATGCGATTGCAAATAGTAGATTCATATTTGGAGTTCAAACAATTTTTTGATATTGGTGACTCAATTATGGTTTCTGGCAATGAATCAATTTTCTAGCATGATATACTTCAGTTAAAGTATATAGCTATATTGTAAAGCTTGTAATTATGTTTGTGATATATATATATATATATATATATAAGTTGGTACTGGCAGACATTGTATTTTACCTAAGCTAGAAAAACAACCTACAACCTATAATAGAGTGAGATGATGACATAAGTTCCCCTATCACTAAACCTGTGATTACTTTGCCTATAAATCATACTCCATAAGCCTAAAGGAATCATTTTTCAAAATTGTATTCAGAACGGATTGTTTGTTACTATATTAGCTCTTGGGGTTCTTAATTATTTGTATCTTACGAGCAAGTATTATATAAAAAAATTCTTTGCATAGTGATGTTAGAATGTTTGTACTTTGAGAACTGTTAAGACTGTTTGAACTGTATAAATCAATCTCTCCTCTCTTCCTTGTCTCGTTTCTTCTAATTGTATATATATATATATATATATATATATACACTCCATTTTTTGGGAAGCCACTTTAGGTCAATAGCATCTATTTGTAAAATGGACAAGGGTGGGGCAGTACTATGTGGGTCTTGCAGGAAGAGCGTATTTTATTTATTTAAGAATGCACTTTATTTACTGTATAGATTTTTGTAGCTAGTATGCTAAGTTGACTCTGTGGAACAATGGCTGTGCATTTATTGGCCTTGTAATATGAATCTAGAGTTTCACATGTAAACTGTGCATTGCTGTAGGTTGTGCTGCATGGTGTGGTTAACATGCAATTGCCAAACCAGTGGTTGTGGGACATGGTAGATGAGTTTGTATACCAATTCCAGGCATTCTGTCAATACCGTGCAAAGATGAAGAGCAAAACTGCAGAGGAGATTGCATTGCTGAGGCAGTTCGACCAGGTATAGCTGATAGATTACCATGCCTTTTCTTCTTCCCTATAGTTAAACCTATTAATATGCTTTCTATAATATACTTTTGAAATTTGTTCAGTTAGTCCGCTATTTTACTTTTAAGGATATTTATAACCTTTTTCTTGCTTTTCATTATTGTTTGCATAATTACTCTTTTAACTTTGGTGATGACTTGGTTTTAGATAAAACTAGGAAAAATGTTTGAATATTACAACATTGACTGTGTGGTGATCTGCGTTACTTGAATTGTTATTGGTTACATGTATTATGAGTGTGTGCATAATCTGTAGCATTACTGTAAATCCTGCAACATTGTTCTCAAGCATTTTTTATCTGGTATTTGTTTTTATAAATCATTCGTCTGTGGCATCTTTTATCTGTTTGCAGTTTATTATCCAGGGCATTGACGTGTTGCTTTTGAGTAGTAGTTTCCTTTTAGCTATAGATATAGTCATACATTGCCGTGATTGAGTAAGAACTGCTTGTAGCTGGTCTCTAAGGTCAAACATTGACGTATGGTGTTCATTCATGAATGGGCAAATAGTGGAGCCCCCACGTAAAGTGATGGGTGTTCAATTGAACATCCTTCATCGAAAAATTACATTGTACATATATGAAATTATACCAAGTATATAGGTCGCAACTTACTTTTCGTAGGTATATATTAGTTAATGAACACCCTCAGCAAAATTTCTGGTTTCACCACTGTGGGCAAGACTTGATTTTAATGATGGGAGAAAATTATGGTATTGATGGATGTTAATCATTACAGTGCAAAGTGGTCATTAGGTGAAGAGATTGGATTGGCTGTCAAAGCCTGACTTGGACATCTAAGATGTTTGTTTTTACCAACGTATTTCTTTATTATGATTTAATAAACCATTTATGACCTACTTGTCTAAAAAATCTCTCTAATAATGATGTTTATTAGGCTTGGAATGTATACGGTGTTCTCAATTTCTTACAAGCCCTTGTGGAGAAATCTACAATAATCCAAATCTTGGAGAGGGAAAAGGAAGGTCTTGAAGAGTTTACTGCTACTGATGGGTATGATTACAGTGGTGGAAGTAATGTCTTGAAGGTTTTGGGCTATTTCAGCATGATAGGCTTGCTCAGAGTTCATTGTCTGTTGGGTGATTATCATACTGGCCTGAAGTGCTTACGTCCAATTGACATAACTCAACAGGGTGTTTACACCAGTGTTATTGGGAGCCACATAACCACAATATATCACTATGGTTTTGCTAATCTTATGTTGAGGAGGTATGTTGATCATTATTTTCTCCAAACTCTTGCATTTCTGTCACATGTACTGCACAGTTCTGTATGATTGTGTGTACTTTTATTTAGTCAAGAATTTACTAACATGCTATCTTAAAATATGCATTCCTTTCATATTTGCGCAAAATCGCTGGTCTGTGATGTTATAATAAAATTAAATGAACTAGCTGAAGTTTTTGAAGGACTGTTGTCTTTTGTCATTGGGAGTTGAAGAAAATGTACAGTAGAGGCAAAAGAGTATTTTGCAACTACTGTCTGATAGTAGAAAGTAATAGAGGTGGCAATTAAGCGGGTTGGGTCAAATTTGGTTGGATTGTAATGGGTCAAGACCCAACCCAATCAAATTTGCTTGGATCAGAATGTGTTGGGTCAAGTAGTAGGTCATAGAATGGGTCAAGACCCAACCCAACCCAATTTTTACGAAGTTTAATTATTTTATTTGTTCTTTTAAAACATTTTAGTACCTAATAATTTTTTTTCTTTATTATGGCTAATATATAACATATCAAATTAAAAATATATATATATATATTTTTTTTTAAATATTTTGACAAGATTTCTCTTGAGTCAGTTTAGGTTACATATCAACCCAATTTTTTATGGGTTGAAATGGGTTGAGCTAATAAATGTGCGGGTTGGGTTTGATTTTGCCACCCTAGAAAGTAGTATGCGCTTTACTTTTAACTCAACGGTTAGGTAATGTAATTTTTCTCGAATTGGAGAACATGTTGGCATTGTTGCTTATTATTGGCCACTTAATCTTTGTTGAGGTAAGATATTGCTTTAGTTTACAGTTAATTCGTAATAACAGTGGAGGTCGGATGATCTTTTCGTTTTCTTGATCACAATGATTAGATTTCATTCTTTGGTGGGGGTGGGGTGGGTGGGGGGAATCTTCAATCAACAAGGAGCCACCTGACGAATCTCCGAGTGCTCGAAGTTCTAGCTGTATTTAGTTTGGCTTTAGCAGAGTAGTTTTATTTCCTCTAATCTGGAAAATGGGTTCGCCATTTTACAGGTATGTAGAGGCTATCCATGAGTTCAACAAAATCCTTCTATATATTTATAAGACAAAGCAGTATCACCAGAAGTCACCCCAGTATGAGCAGATACTGAAGAAAAATGAGCAGATGTATGCCCTGTTGGCTATAGCTTTGTCATTGTGCCCTCAAGTGAAACTTGTTGAAGAAACTGTGAATTCTCAATTAAGGGAGAAGTATGGTGAG